GTTCATTGGAAAGACGGATGTTAAGCTGAAACTCCAATACTTTGGCCCCCTGATAAGAAGAGCTGACTCATTTGAAAAGACCCTGATGTTGGGAAAGATTGACGGCAGGAGGAGAAGGGGATGACAGAGGATGAGATGGTTGGATGGCATCACCGACTCAATGGACATGAGTTTGAGTAGACTCCAGGAGTTGGTGATGGACAGGGAGGCCTGGCATGCTGCAGTTCATGGGGTCACAAGGTCAGACATGACTGAGCGACTGAACTGAACTGAATTGGTTAGAACCGTAGGCATGTGCGCAGCACTCCAGACCTACAGAACCAGAATCTGTGTTTTCACAAGATTCCCCAGGTGATCTGGGTGCCCTTGCATTTGCGTTAAACATGCTTAACGGTGAGTCTGAGCTGTTCTGAGGTCGGATCACCTCTGGGCCAGCCAGTTTGGCTTTCCCTGGGTTCCTGAGCTCAAGTCCTTAAAATTAACCATCTGTTGCTTGAAATGACTTAAGTGACTGTCTGGTCCCTGAGACACAAAGGGCCTTCTCAGAGTCAGACCATGGGGTGAGGGGAATGTCTCCTCATTTCAGCCCCACCCCTCTATCCCATGTGCTAGGTTCACACTGTGGAGTGACTGCCCTGGACAAGCCACCACCTTGTTTATACCTATGGGCTTCTCCTTTCTTTTCTCCATGTAAGCCTTGTTTATCCCTATTCACATGGGAGTTTCTAGAGCTCTGCTGTCTGGTATGGTAGCCATTAGCCACCAGTCATTACTGAGCTCTTGAAACACAGCTGGTTTAAATTAAGATGTGCTACTATGTAAAATATGTTGCAAATGTTAAAGAACATAAAATATCTTAGGAATAATTTTCATAGTGATTATATTTTGAAATGATAATTGAATATATCATTGTATTAAGTAAATATTGAATATATTGTATTAAGTAAAATATTTTATCAAAATTGATTTCAACTTAAAAAATGTGGCTACTAGAAAATGTAAGATTACACATGTGGCTCACATTATATGTGTGCTAAGTCTTGTCCCATTCTTTGTGACCCAATAAACTGTAGACCGCCAGGCTCCTCTGTCCATGGGATATCCCCAGTATTATATAGTTGACCCTTTAACAACTTGGGGATTAGGGGTGCCCATCCTCCCCACAGTGGAAAATCTGTGTATAACTTATAGTCAGCCCTCCATACACATGTAGTTTCTATGTATCTGCAGTTCTACATTGCAGATTTAACCAATCTCAGATCATGTAGTAATGCAGTATTTACTACTGAAAAAAATCCCTGTATAAGTGGACCTGCAAGGTTCAAACCTGTACTGTTCAAGGATCAACTGTATTTTTCTGGACAATGTGGGGCTAGAGAACAGGCCATGGTCCCTCCATTAGAGAGAAGCTCCCAAGGGGGCAGGCATCACATCTCTCCCTTGCTCTATACCAAGCTCTGTGACCAGCTCTCTGGAGGTGGGTGAGCGTCAGGGCTGGCTACACAGACCCTTTCCAGGGTTCAGCCTAGGGTTTAATTCCACTGCACAAGGTCATGAATGGTCCTGTCATTAAGATGCTTGCCCTCATGAGGGATACTGCATGTTTCTTGGCCCTGGTTGCTGAAAGAAATCACAGGAGAAAGCTTTCTCTTCCACTCTTCATGCAAGGATTTCCCCTCTGTGAGTAGTTCTTAGGATGTTAATACCAGGTTTGAATCACAAAGCTACCATTTACTGAGTGCCTGCTATTTGACAGTTCTGTGCTGATCCTTACACAGTCCATGGGGCAGCCATTAGCATTTGTTTCTGGGAAAGGAAATAAGGTTCAAAAGGTTAATTTCGACATAGTTAGAAGTTAGTGGAGGTAAAATCCAAGACCATTGGATAACACTGCCAGCTAAACTTTATCATTAGGGGGTTCAAAAGGCTCCACATATGAATCATACTCTTAATTTCAGAAACTGCTCTTTCTAAATAAGCATAAGGAAAAAGCACAGTACATAAAGCTGTTGAGGAGCAGGGGGCGCTGCTGGATTCCCTTTGGGCTAGCATGGCATCATTGACAATTTATCTATGGCATAAGGGGGCAGAGAGGATTCTTACAGGCCTGTGGTCTATGGGGTGGTCCCAAACCACACATGGGCCGAAACTGGCCTTTGATGTAGAAGCAAAAGGGAATACAGGGCCATTCACATTTAAAGGGGCTGTGGCCTTTAGGTTATTCTCTATCTCCTAGTGTTAAAAGGAATAAAACATCTTCAATGGTCTTCCCAAATTAAAGCCAAAGGGGAGGGGGCAGGGTTGAGAGCCTTAGAGTTTTCCCATTCTGTTAACAGCTCTCCTGCCTGCTTTCCTTTCCCCTCCTCAAGTACCACGACCTAATAAAACTTTTCCTGCTTAGTTGAGACATCAGATCTAATGTCCTCACTGATGGGAATTAAAAAAAAAAAAAGGTTTCATGTGACCTGGGTTGTATATAGCTCCCCAGGTGGCGCTAGTGGTAAAGAATCCACTTGCCAGTGCAGGAGACTCAAGAGACATGGGTTTGATCCCTGAGTCAGGAAGATTCCCCTGGAGAACGAAATGGTAACACACTCCAGTATTCTTGCCTGGAAAATCCCATGGACAGAGGAGCCTGGTAGTCTACAGTCCATGGGGCTGCAAAAGAGTCAGATATGACTGAGCACACATTATACTCCTACCAACTCTATTCCTTTAAAATGGATCATAGAAAACAAGGACTAGTCAGGCTGTAGAGACCAGAGAATTCAAATCCTTTATTCTGCAGAAACAGAGATATGGAATTTAAAGTCACACATTTACTGGCAAAAGTTGGGACCAGAACCTTGGACCTCTGATTCCTCATTTCCCCGGTTCCAAATAGAAAATCAGAAAAGGGATATTTTAAACATTTCTGTGCCCCCACCCAAATTCATATATTGAAATCCTAATCCCCCCAACCCTCACCCCATGTGGCTGTATTTGGAGACAGGGCCTTTGAAGACATGACAAAGGTTCAATGAGGTCAAAAGGGTGTGGCCCTAATCCAAGAGCACTTCCCAAGTGGTGCCGTGGTAAAGAATCCACCTGCCAATGGAGGAGACGCAAGAGCCAAGGGTTCTATCCCTGGGTCAGGAAGATCCCCTGGAGTAGGAAATGGCAACCCACTCCAGTAAATTCCACAAGCAGAGGAGCCCAGAGGACTACAGTCTGTGAGGTTGCAAAGAATTGGACAGGACTGAGCGACTAACACATACACACCTAATCCAATAAGGCTGGTGCCCTTATAAGAAGATCAAGAGACACCAGAGTTATCTCTGCCATGAGAGAACACAGCAGAAAGGTGGCTAGTCAGAAACAGAGCCTTCACCAGAAACCAAATCCTGCTGGACCCTGAGCTTGAACTTCCAGCTGCCAAAACTGTGAGAAAATTAATTTCTGTTATTTAAGGCATGCAGTCTGTGGTATTTTGTTATGGCAGCCTGGGCTGAGTAACACAAGAGGATAAAGTAATTTTTATCTGTGGGCCTCAACTCAAGTTTGGGCATGAAAGGTGCATAATGTAGGGGAAAACACAGGACCAGAACTGACCAAGATAGGGGCCATTCAGAGACTGACTAGGGACCACTTTCCACATGGAATACCCCAGCCCACAGGTACCAGAAGGCCATTAAAAAAAGAATGAGTCAATTAGTTGAAGAATTTGGGGAAAGCATCCAAACTATGCATATCCTGTTCTGTGAAACAGCCTGTGTGTCCTTTCATGATGCACGCAAACAGGAAAAACATTGGCCTGGGTACACCTCACCCCCTTCTGAAACCTTCTCTGGCACACAGTATCCCTTGAAATCAAGGTTGGGAGGACTGTTTCCTGAGAGGAGAAAATGAGTCTGACCCTCTGGTCTATAAGCCCTTGGGAAGGGTGGAGGGACACTTGTTATACTTCTAAGGGTCTGATGAACGCCCACGTCCTTTAAGATGTCAGGCCATTAAGCAGAAGCCAGTGGCCTGAACTGGAAATGTTCTCACTGGTGGAGTGTCTTTAGCATGTGAGAGATATACCAGCCACAAAGGAATAGTTTTACTTACGGTCAAATGTTTTCCTGGAACTTTTGAAGTTAATAAAATTTTTTAAGTACAAAGGAAATAAAACAACAGCAAAATAATCAGTGTTAACAAGCTGGTATGTTTATCTCCTATATATTTTTTTGAGTTTTACAAAGCTTTTTATGACAGGCATGTATTACTTTATAATGATGATAAAAACATTGTTCATTCTCTAAATAGTTCAGTATCACATGCTAGGAAGTTTTCTTGATGCTGGAGATACAGCAGTAAACAAGATAAAAATCCCTCTTCTAGAACTTCCAGTTAGCGGGTATTTGGATGGAGGAGTAAAATAGGAGACAGTGATGGCCCTGGAAGGAGAAGTTGGGGTGGAGTGAGAGGATGGAGAGCCCTGGGGATGAAGCATCAGAGAGGGTTCTCCAAGGAGGGGACGTCTGAGCAGAGATCTGAAGTAAGTGAGGGGCCAAGTCAGGGGCAGGGCTGTGGAAAGAGCTCTTCTTTACACAGGGAACAGCAGGCGAAGGCCCTGAGGTTTTGCTCAGGGACAAGCAGAGGGCCAGTGTGACCACAGTGGAGCTAGCAGTGACCACAGTGGAGGAGCGGAAGGAAATGGGTCTGGAGAGCCAGGCAGGAGTGCACTGGGCCTCGTAAGGCCATGATGAGGAGTCCATCCAGTCTGTCTCAGTGTGAGGGGAAGCAAAGGGAAGGCTGAAGCCAGGGAGTGAGGTGATGTGTAGCCCGACACTGTCTTCTGGATGCCTCCCTTGTTCCAGGGACCACATTTCCCCCATAAGATGAGAAGGTCCTGAGTTCAGGGATATGGGAATGTTTTCTCTGGGTTCCTTTCCCAAGAGAGGACTAAAGCAGGAGCTGCAGGCCATAGGAAACTGATGGCTTATCTCTCTCCAGGGTTTTCACTTCCTGGGACTCACCTTCTACCGTCAACTCCACCGTCACCTGGCGGGCACCACTGCCATTGGTGGCTTCACAGGTATACTTTCCCTTGTCCTCGTCAAGCACAGCATGAATCAAAAGGCTGAAAGTCCCCCGGGTACCACAGTCCAGCAGGAAGCGGCCCCCACTGGTGATGGGTTGTCCGTTTCTGTGCCATGTCACTTGGGGCTCTGGGTAGCCCCGGACCTTCAAGGAAAAGAAGAAAGGGTGAGAGCTTGTATATAAGGAGTACTTCCTATGTATCAAGTATTGTTCTCGGTACATTANCCACAGTCCAGCAGGAAGCGGCCCCCACTGGTGATGGGTTGTCCGTTTCTGTGCCATGTCACTTGGGGCTCTGGGTAGCCCCGGACCTTCAAGGAAAAGAAGAAAGGGTGAGAGCTTGTATATAAGGAGTACTTCCTATGTATCAAGTATTGTTCTGGGTACATTACATGTGTTAATTCATATAATCCTCATAAGCAGCATGTGAAACAAATACTACTTTCACCTCCATTTTAGAGATGAGGAAATTGAGATGCAGAGTTTTGGTAGATTTCTTGAGGCCTTGAAGATAGAAAGTGGCCAAGTCAGGCATCCTGGCTTCAGAGCCCACCACACAGATGTCTCTCAAGCCTGGTTGCATGATTAGAATCACTGGGGGAGATTCAAAGCAAATACTAGTGCCAAGGTCCAACCTTGGACCAATTAAATCAGAACCCCAGGGGTGGGGACTGAACATGGGGATTCTAGACCAATGTTTCCCACTCTAACAAGCAACAGATACTTCTTAAAAATGCAGATTCTACTTCTATAGTTCTGGGGTGGGCCTGAGATTCTGCCATTCAGATAAGCTCTCAGATGCTGCTGAGGCTGCTGGACCCTAGAACTCACCTTGGGTAGCAAGGTTCTAGATCTGAACTGCCCAGTACGGCGGCCACTAGCCACACATGGTGACCAGGTTCTTGAAACGTGGCTGATCCTGAGTCACACCATAAGATTAAGTGTAAATTACACAAGGGGCTTTGAAGAGTTACTATGAAAAGAGAATGTAAAATGCCTCAATAGTTTAGAAACACTGATTACATATTGAAAAGATAGTAACTTTGATATATTGGGTTAAATAAAATATATTGTTAGAATTAATTTCACTTGTTTCTTTTTAGTGTTTTAACGTGACTACTAGGAAAGGTACACCTACATATGTGCCTTGCTTGATGTGTCTGTCAGGCAGTGCTACCCAAGACCACTCTCTCTACGAATTGTTAGCAGCTAACATTTTCTGAGTGCTAAGTGTTAAGCACTTTTCTAAATGCTTAACATATGTGAGCCTCAGAGCAACTTGTTCAGAGAGAAGATGTTTCCCCAATGAGGGGGAAATGCAGGGAGAGATAAGTTCCAAGAAAAGAAATCACTTTGAGTTTCAGAGAAAGTTCTCCAAGGGCCCTGAAACTCAAGAAACTCAATCAGCCCTTCAGAATGGATTCCTCTTCAGAGGAGCAGGGCTCAGACTGGCCCATCAGTGCAAAGCCTGGGACCCTGAATTTGGGCATTTTAGCACTGGAAATGCACAGAAGACATCATAGAACCCTCCTGAGAAAGAAACTGTTGGTGTTGCAAATAGGCGACAGCAGCAGCTTTTACATACATGTCCACTTCCAAGATAAGAGAGCACGTACAGATGCAGCAAAACCAAATTCACTGGATAACCCCAAATTGCATTTACAAAGAAAGCCTTCAGTGACTGGCAATTGTAATTTTCATCACAGGCCTCAGCGAGGTCAGAGAGGATGCTTTATCAGCACGTGGGAGAAAGGGGAGGGTAGGTGGCTGTGCACTCACACCTGGACCATTGCGGCCTTGCCAAGCACACATGTCCTATCTCAGGGTGATGGGTCTGCAGGGGACCACATGCATATTATGTCTATTGTGACATGAAACAAAAAGAGATCGCCTCTGGGTTGCTCCTCTTTTCCTTTCACTTAACTATCATTTTCTGATATTCTTGCAAATAACACCCTTGATCTTTGTAAAACAGAAAAAAATTTAAATGAAAATATGTGTTCCTTTCATATCCCTTCAGAATGGATTCCTCTTCAGAGGAGCAGGGCTCAGACTGGCCCATCAGTGCAAAGCCTGGGACCCTGAATTTGGGCATTTTAGCACTGGAAATGCACAGAAGACATCATAGAACCCTCCTGAGAAAGAAACTGTTGGTGTTGCAAATAGGCGACAGCAGCAGCTTTTACATACATGTCCACTTCCAAGATAAGAGAGCACGTACAGATGCAGCAAAACCAAATTCACTGGATAACCCCAAATTGCATTTACAAAGAAAGCCTTCAGTGACTGGCAATTGTAATTTTCATCACAGGCCTCAGCGAGGTCAGAGAGGATGCTTTATCAGCACGTGGGAGAAAGGGGAGGGTAGGTGGCTGTGCACTCACACCTGGACCATTGCGGCCTTGCCAAGCACACATGTCCTATCTCAGGGTGATGGGTCTGCAGGGGACCACATGCATATTATAATGTCTATTGTGACATGAAACAAAAAGAGATCGCCTCTGGGTTGCTCCTCTTTTCCTTTCACTTAACTATCATTTTCTGATATTCTTGCAAATAACACCCTTGATCTTTGTAAAACAGAAAAAAATTTAAATGAAAATATGTGTTCCTTTCATATTAGTGTGTCTGTATAATGAATATATGACTTCCCCAGTGGCTCAGTGATAAGGAAGCTGCCTGCATTGAGGAGTCACAGAAGATGCAGGTCTGATTCCTGGGTCAGGAAGATACCCTGGAGTAGGGCATGGCACTCACTCCAGTATTCTTGCCTGGGAAATCCCATGGACAGATGAGCCGGGTGGGCTACAGCCCATGGGGTCACAAAGAGTCAGACATGACAGAAGCAACTTAACACACATGCACATAATAAATGTATAGCACAACCATTTAATAATTTGTGGAGCCCCTCAAGGTACCTAAATCTAGAACTGGAATTAAAAGTGGTACACAAATAAACATTATGCATGTCTGAAGGTGGCAGATGCCACATATCCATATAAAAAACATGTCATCTTGTGGTACACTCTTGGCACAAAACTTCATGCCAAGGAATATCAGACACTCACTCTAGTAACGCATTCTTTTTCTCTGTGAAGCTTATCTTCAGGAAACAGCTAAGGAAAGAAACTGTCCTACAGAAGGAAGCCCCTTGGGAGTCTGGTCTTACAGTGAATTTGTGCATCATCATTCTTTCCTCCACCTTGTTAGGCAGGGCCATTCTCACCTCCAGAAAATGATCAGGTAACCTTCTGTCAGTGTCCGAGAAAGGGATGCAGGGCCCTGGGACGGGGCTGGGGGGCTGGGGGAGTGATGAATCATTAACTTCACCAAATGCATCCTTAGCATTCCATGAGCAAGTGCTCTGGCCCCCTGCAGCGGTGCCAGCTCTGAGGCCATCAGGGCTGGAGGCATCAATGATTAACTGGGGACATTGCAAGTGCTCCAGACCTTGAGGACACAGATCCCTATTTCCCTTTCTATTTTCCTCTCATTTTCTACATGCATAGACATTCCCCTCCACCCCACACTACCAAATCCACCTCTGCATTGCCCTTATATATTAAAGTAAGTATCCAAGGATTTTTTAAAAAACGCTGAAACTAGTGCCACTTAGAAAACTGCAGTTTGCAATGGACTTTTGTACACCCTGCATCTGAAGCAAAAGCAGGAATTTCTATGACCTTTTTCTGTTCCAAGGTCTGAATGATCCGCAGCTTCAATTCTTATCCTCCCTATATGGAAAAACTTGCTCAGTCACTACCTAACCTTACCTAAAAATTACTCAACTTCAAGTAAACTCATTTTTATTGTCTTCCTACTATCTTGGGCTCCTAGGTGGGGAAAGAAGAGAAACTTAGACTCACACTCTTGGGTGTGTGACAACAGCCCTGCCCTCCCTTGATGTCTTATCTGCCTTCATCACGGGCCTTCTGCCAAGAAGCCACAGCTGGGACTTTTACAGCCCAGTCAAAACTGCAATAAAAACCCAGTGATACTTTAGTTTTCAGAGTCTTTCACATAGAGAATCTTATTTGATTCTTTTTTTTTTCCATTTATTTTTATTAGTTGGAGGCTAATTACTTTACAATATTGTAGTGGTTTTTGTCATACATTGACATGAATCAGCCATGGATTTACATGTATTCCCCA